GGGCATTTTAGTCTTCCTCTCTGCCTTTTAATAGAATTTATGAAATATTTCCAAAGGCCAACAATGCACAATAAATCCAATACGAAATACTCAAAGTCCATCGTAGCCTTAAGACTTTTTTTTATTCTTGTAATATAACTATAATTAATTTCAATTCACTATGTTTTCTTTATTTACTAAAGATATTTAAACAAAAATGAAAAAAGAGATTATTCATTTGATTTGAGGTAAATTTTTATTTTCCAAGTGTTTTATAGAAAGCAGAATAAGCTTTAAATATTTGATTAATTGATAATTCTCAGAAAATGAGAAATAAGCTGAAGAATAGATGAAATTTATTGATTATACAATTATTTCTCGGGAACTAAAAAGAAAATATAAAAATTAAAGGTTAGTACACACTAGTTAGTATTTGTTCACTTAAAGGAAAGTATGAGCTACTTGATATATCACAAACGAAATAAGTTTCTTAAAAAAAAACTTACTTTTAAATTGATTATATGTCTTTCTTTTAACAGAAATGATAGTATAAATTGTAACAGGTTATACTTTCTCAAAATAATTGTACAAATTGTAGCTAATTTTACTTTATAATGATAATTTTATAAGATTTTTTTATTCTAATGTTGCGTCCACACTATTCGTGAAACACAACACAAATGTTTACCAACTACAGTGAAACCACCATTAGTTCCAGAATCTTACTTGTAATGCAAAACACTCTTTAAATGAAAAATTTCAAATATGTCTCAACACAAGTTTAGAAAATTATGTAGTAGGCCCATAATCTGGGACTTTCCTTTTCCTTGTCACTCGTTATGCGAAACGTTGCTCGTCAAACCATAATCATTTTTAACTCGTTAAGCGAGGTCCCACAGTACTACATGTAGTTAACAAAGATTGTTCCAGAAAAACTTAAAGAAATGCATTCATAACTTCTGTTAGTTAAGGAAATATATTGTTAATGAAATAATTGTTGTAGGAAACTAACAGTATGCAAAATACTAATGATCAAAATTTGATATTTTTTGTATGTCTATGAGCTAACAATAAGCAGATATGGAATGTAATAAGTCAATTTTGACTTATTTGTCAATGTTTATTATAAACAGTAATAAATTTATTGTATCTACACAATGAAGACAGATCAAATATGTACTTATTTATGAGCTATAACATTTCTTAAATTTTTAAAAATTTACTACTATAATTATAATTGTTACTTTTGTAAGATTATAATTTCTTTCATACATATAATTACAAAAGGTTACTCTACAAAACGTGAATATTAATTAGATAAAATAACGATAAATCAACCGATAGAAAATCCTGCTTTATTATTGTTCTTAATACACAAGACTAATAAACAAAGGAATAAGAAACTTCTAATGTAATTACCACTTGTCCATAAAGTTTTCACAGCATCTTTGATCCAAGTTGTAAATTTATATGAAAAGGGTCACACCTTGTAATCAATGAAAACATATCTATTTTCTCTCCAATTCAATAAAAAAAATGTTTACGTTCGACATCAATCAATGGGTTTTTCTACGCGTTTCCACCTGTCTCTTTCTCTCCAAGATCCCAAAAATAAAGATTAAGGAGAGTGGGGAAAAGGCATTAGATAAGAGCAATCGGATAAATGGGAGTGTATCAATTACGGTTTTTGTTACGTATAAATTTGAAATAATTTTCTGTCTGGCGAAACGTATTTACATACAAATATTCGCTGTTAGTTATCGCACAATCTGTAACTGGCAATCTGATAATGTGCGCATAGTTAACATGAATAAAGTGTACTAAGTGCGCCGGGCTGTCTCACTCGTGCACACGTGCACACTATGCACACGCGTGACGTAACGCACCGTACCGAAGTGCAGTATTTACAATAGCGAAACGTAACGAGTGAGAGAGAGAGTGAGTGAGATAGACAGAAAAATAGGAGAGAAAAAAGACAGGTAAAATTCAAGCTAAATGTATTTGTGTGTGCATGCACGGACATTCCGATAAATATTCAACTTGGGAAATATATTATTATTACGGAGCGATTTGCATAAACGGTGTCTGCGCCTGGTATCCTTTATTCAGTCTGCACACATAACGTAAGGACAATTTGCACATTCGATACGCCGATTATTAAACTCGAAAGCTTTTACACATAGACGTTTATTTTTGTGGTTTCAACTCTATTTTTATTGATCAGATTTTGGTATTTTTAATCCTATGTACTAAAAATACACGTAACTACATCTGTACCTGAGATAAACGTATCTCCAGTTTATTTTTAATTTATATAAGTACGAGTCATATAGTCAACAGATTACAAAAAAATACACACTTATTTCAATCTTTTCACTAATTATAATTTTAAACAATTATTTCACTAATTTTCAACAAACAAACAAAATTGTTTTGTTTATTTCCGTTTTTTATTGATATTATGATTATATTGAATATTTTAACATTTACTTTTCCATCATTTTCAACTAAAATTGAGAAAAATATGTTTTTTTAAGTACAGCAATACCTTGCATAGTGCGTGTCAGTCCGGAAAACAAACTAAATATACCAAAATAAAAATTAGTATACAATTTTATACATAAATGATCGGGTTTTTACTTTTGTCTATTCGATTAATCCGGTTTATAAAATATTACCCGCACTATGCGAGGTATTGCTGAATTTATAAAATACAAAAATTGACTTTCGTCCATTGAACTAAGAAATTTTAGAAGATCATCTTATATTCCAGATATAAACAAAACTAATATGGATAAGATTAATTTAGATGCAATATTTTGTATTCGATTTGCATGCACTAAATTTGTTACTAATAATTCTATAAATCTCATGGTCGAAATCAACAACAGATTTATAAGCGAATCCTTACGAGTAGTTACATGGAATTACTAATAACAAGAACGCGTACAAAAATAACCTTCATTTGCAACACGTAATTAGATTCTCTCTAGAAAAACGAGATTGAATTCTGGACAATGTTTTTTTTATATTAATTTCATCCCGAGGTTATGAATAAAATCTCAATTAAAATAACCTTTAGTTAAATATTAATTGATATACTAATTAGATGAAAAGCAATAAATTGCAACTAGTTAAAGAGAATTGAATGATATGCAGTGCAACGAAGATTAAATGGAGTTCCGGTCGTTGGTAATAGCATGCGATTACGCAATATCCCAACAATATCACAGATACATCAATTATCCTCTCGTTTCTTTCGATCTGCGTTGTTTTTTTCTCTCTTTCTTTATTTCTTCTTACGTCTTGCGGTTACAATTACACCGAGGATTTAAATAGAAATATAAATATTCCGTGTCGGATCCGTGCGTTCGGTCTCCTGAGACTTGTAACCGTTGAGTAATGGGGCGTTCGGGTGTACTTTCAATAAGCCTATACCCATATGAGATGAGACACTTCAAAAACCTATCGATTCTATTGCTGTCAATTAAAAGTCCTCTGGAATGATTCAAGGAACTACACCATTATTGGCCTGTAAACGCACACGAGAATTGACAATTTCAAATTTCAACAACAGCAACAAGAACAAGTAAGAAAAATAAGACGAGAAGAAATTTATAGAAAACAGTGGCAAATAAATGTGTAATAGCATCTTCAATTGCCATCTTATGAAATAGTAAATCGGTTTTTCCTTATACCCGTATTTAGAATGGAATAGAATTTACTTTCAAATGTACATGTTTTCATTGATAATCATTTAAACTTTGATTCTGAAATGCAAAGTATTGATAAATCCAACTTTTAATAAAAAAAACTGAGTATAAATCTATAGAAATCATTGCTAAGTATAAAAGCGTTTTCAATTGTCAACTTATGAAATAGTAAATTAGTTTTTCTTTATGCCTAGTTTGTAATACAATGAAATTAATTGCGTTTTGTTATAAAATGTATGTTCATTTGATCATGAATTTGGTTCTAATACATAAAATATTATATTATTTGATAATTTCTTCTCATAAGAAAACAAATGATTAAAAAAGTTATAGAAATCTGTGGTTAATAAAATTGAATGAGTAAATTGTTGTTTGTTTATAAATGTCGACTAGAATTTAATTGCGTTGTAGGTTTTATATTTTTTTTAGAAAATCTAAAAGTTTTATTTGTATTTACCGTGGACTTTAAATAACAAATATTTTTTAGATAATCTAATCTACACGTTGTTGTTATTGATTTTTTTTGTCAAATAAATTTGTGTAATTCCTGAAAAACATACGCTGTGTTGTCTATAATTGCTCACTTATACGATTATATAATTGTCTTCTTCAACTTTTCGTTAAAAAATATCAGTGTTTTGTTTCAACTGAGTTGTTGTCTATTTATTATTAGTATTCATTCGATAAAATCGTATCTGCATAAAGCCACATTACGAATCAGCTGATAAACTAATGTGATACTGAGAATTTCGAAAAATAAATTGATTTTTACCTGGAATTCATTTAATATTTATTACATAGAGCCTAGAGCACATGTTTATTAGATAAAACGTTGCGTATCACGTAAAATAGTTAATACCGAGTGCGATAAGCGATAACAGATTACCAACTTTACAATGTCTCTTGCTCTCTCCAACCTGCACATTATCAGGTTTATTTATTTATTTTTTTTTCTTTGCTTTATACGAATAGTTTCCCAATTTTCGTGGATCGAAATACGTGTTTCAATTAATTAAAAACGAGGAAACTAAACAAAGCAATTAACTGAATAGAGGATGGAATAAAGAAGAAGAAAAAAAGACTTCCGATGAGTAATGCTAATAAATAAATCGGGTATTTATAAGCTAATTAATTGCAGGCCGTGCTTTTCAATTCCACCATCAAGGCTTTTCCTATGCTTTTAAATTTATGTACGCGCGTACATAAGATTGAATAAAAAGACGAGAACTTTTACTCTCGAGTCTCTATGTGTAATTCATTAATTAGACGGCGTTAATTAACTCGTTTGTTATTCTTGTTTTTTTGCAGGATCATGGAAGACACCACGCCGTCCCCGACGACAACGAATCCTTATTCATCCTGTATATCTCCATCGAATTCACCATCCCCAATGCTACCTCAACAATACCCCATGCATCTTCCCTCCAGATGCGAGTATCTAGAACAGGAGATGGTGCCCACCACTCAAGGTCTTCCGCAAGTTATGTCCAAGACCCAAGAGATGTGGGATATGCCGCAAAATATGTACCCAGAGTATAGGAACTTCGATAACACTAGGTGAGTCGACTTTCTTCGCAGCAGAAACCGTAATTAGTAAGATAAGATTACGCTCCGTTCTAATCGTTTAATTATTACTCACCGTATTATTAATCATGCATTTGTTTCGCAAGAATATCGCGATGACCACACCATTTCTTCAATAACACGTACAATGAAAAAAAAACGCAAGTTATTTTATCATTTGTAGTTTAACTTTATCCTAAGGTTAATTTTAGACATATTTAAACTATCTATAATAGTCTAAAGTTTTCAAATAATGTGCAAATAATGAATAATCAATAAATATTAATCAATTAGTAAATTCATACAGCTAAAACTATAGTGAAAATGAATCAGTTTTTTTTTATAATATACAATATTCAAAAAAAATAAATTTCTAAATATTAAATTTAATCACAACTCTCTTAAGAAATTTTATTGAAATACTCAAATAATATAATTATATAAAATTATATCATTTTTGTTGTTTTCAAGTAAATAGATTCCAGAAAGGTAAATTTTCTAATTTATTTGAATCAAGTTATGAGAAAGTAATCGTTTTCCTTGTTCGAAGTAAGTTCCACATCTACATTTAATTAAATTAGTTAATCAAAACCATTTAATACAACTATAGATAGTTTCAAGCAAGTTCTTAGCAAGTTTAGTCTGGCGTGTAGTCGCATAAATTAATGATTAAAATGTACAAGGTATGATTTCACGCTTACTTTTGTTACGTAAGTATATACGTAGTTATAACGCACTCAGAATTTGGCGGGAAATATTCAAATTTTAATGTATAAAAAAGATTTTAAAGTAATGACTTGTTAGTATTAGAATATAAAAATAAGAAAAGTGTCTATAATCAGGGTATCCCCATAAAATGTTAGTAGTTTTATTTGAATACTAGATATTAGTGACGAAAATATATTAGATTAGATAATGTAGAAGTTTATATTTTTTTTTATTACTATATAATTTAATGATTGATTGAATTTGAAGTGTGCATTTCATTGTGTGGATTTTTCAGATTTCCGACAGTCGATTATACGAGGAGCGCCGCGTACATCGATAACATGTCGGGCTTCGCTCAAACGCGACCAAATTATGGACAGAAGATGGGTGGACAGGGACAGAAGACGCCGAAGGAGGCGCGGATCAGGCGACCCATGAACGCTTTCATGGTATGGGCGAAGGTCGAGAGGAAGAAGCTTGCCGACGAAAATCCGGATCTCCACAACGCGGATCTCAGCAAGAAGCTTGGTAAGTCCCGAAAATCAATTAAAAACATAACCGTGAACAACAACGTAAATTTAAAATATATATACGAGATAAAAATCTAATTAGCGGCGGTGGCGCGAAAGAGTGAATCATTGTTTCGTAATCCGTGTGTTTATTGTTATTAATAATAACATCTGAGGAGACGAGAAAGAATTGCTATATGTATTACAACAACAAAAACAAGAATAGAAATAAATAAAAAGAGGAGTAGGAAAACACCAACCGTGTCCGATGAATAGGCTTTCCTATTTAATATGACATTTATTGATGATGATGGTGCATGTATGTGCATTTTGTTGTCGGGAATAGTGCAGGATGTATGTCTCGAGGGGTCCAAAGGGGGCGGAAGGTGGATGTTGTTGGTGGTTGAGGTGGCGGAGGAGGAGGCCTCGTGCTATGGCCCGTGTCGGATCAAGTAAACACGTCTCGGTCTGAATGACCCATTGACCCGCACCATTGATTGACAGGGGCACTCCCATCGCACAGGGGATCATCATCATCTACACTGGCGGACCACTCCTAAAAAATCTCGACCAAACCCAAAAACCCCATATACATATACACGCACTCACACTTCCATACATACAAAAGCGTACGAGGAACGATGATTAAGAAAAAGACAACACGCGCTCGACAACAACACTCGAAATTGCTGGACACAAATATGAAACTCGCGTTTTAATGTATTCAACAATTAATTGAAGACTAAATGGAGTTTAAACTCGACGTCGGAACAGAAACCTCAGACTAGTTATGCTAATCGTCGAAACACAAACATTAGAATTATGAAACAAAAGCCAATTGTAGGTCTTTTTAGAAATGAATATTTAAGAAGAAACCAATTAAATTTCGACATTTATTCTTAAAATTTGAATATTTTATGATTGAAGATTTTACGTAAAGAAATCGACGCAGAATTGATGTTTGTCCTTTGTTTTTTATAAAAACTACTTAATAAAAATACATTTAAAAATCAAACTAAATGTCCTCCTTAAACTTGAATATTTTATCGATTTCTCGATTCTATAAAACGATTATTAAAAATACATTTATGAATCAATTTTTCATTCATTCTTATTCAGACTTGAATCTTTTAAAAAGGATCTTATTTTCCAATTACATAAGACGCATAGTTTTACTTAAAGCTTGAATTGAAGTCCTTCTTATATATTTTGATGTAAATATATACTGTTTATACATTTTAGATAAAATAATTAAACTAGAGTATTCATTGTAATATAAGACGCAAATAAATTAATTTACAATTAGAATACGTCTTCTTTTGTTTTTATAAAAGTAATCAATCTAAATATACTAAATTGATATCCATTTATTCAATAACAATAATAAGAACTCATTAAAAAATCTTAATTTGTGTTTACTTTATGATGAGATATTACATTGATTATATAATATTTAGTCGGAACCGCTTCAGAGTCCAATCAAAAAATTGTTATCTAACGCAGCTTTTTTCATCTTCAAAAGACGATAGATAACTATTTTACCTTGATGATAATTACTTTTTGTTTGAGTTAATTTCCAAATTACAGATTCAAATGCACGTATTGCATTTAGAAATTATTGGCGAATAAGTATTTTTTTTATAAAGATAAGATTAAAAGTTAAATAGATAATGAAGATAACACTCGGATAATTGTTAATCTACAAAAACTATTAGTTTTGAAAAAATAATTGTATTTACAAAATTAAACTATTTATTTCAATCTGAGATAATTTAACTTAGATCATCAATTTGATGATTATTACATTGAATTATTGAACAATCTTTGTTGTTGTATTATATATGTATATTGAAGCAGTTTTATTATAAACATTTCAAATATATTAGTTGAAAATAATATAGTAAATATATATTTAAATAAAATTAGTTTTGTTTCTAGACACAAAACTATCTTTTTGAAAAATCCAAATGAAATAAAAATATTATATTTATGTCTAATAAAATTACATGAATATGATTTAAAATAATACAGCTTTAATATACTTTGGCTAATTCATTCTAAAAAAAAAGATCAATTTTGTTTGTAATGAAAATATTTTTGTAATATTTACTTCTAAACTAAATGGACTGAAATAAAAAGCGTTTTTATTGGTAGATGATTATCCTCGCTATGTATTTTTTTTCTAATGGTAATCAAATAAATACAATTCATGAATTTACTGAAAATGAGATAAGCTTGTACATGAATGAAGTGCGTATCAGTGTTTTGATAAGATTGCCGGATTGTACAGAATCGTTGACAAACGAAAGAGAGCGAAATTTGTGTGACGATAGATCGCGTTTCGTTGCGTAAGGATGGTAGAAGTCGTGGTGGGAATCGTCTGGTAAGTGGAGGCTGTTAATTGCATGTTGCTGGTGGCATCCAATGAGACGAAGAATCAACTCGAGACGAATGTATAAAGTAGCGGGATCTGCGGGCCGGTCGAGCGCTGCGGCCATTTTATATTCTATCTGGCCTTAAAACAAAATCAACGGGAATAATTGGTGATCGCATTGGATTGGATGCGAAGAGAGTGTCCGTCCAATGAGCGTGTCGAGGGCCGAACCGACCGACCGGTACACACATATATTCTCGTGCAGCGACCTGGCCTTCTCCTAGCGCTCCATCCACAGCACAATCCGAACTCCTCCGGACTCTGCTGTATCTAATGAGATTCATGGATATCTTCTCCACCGCACTCTCTGACCATCCATTCGAAACCACCTCCTTCCTTCCTACCTCCCACCCCCCTTCTCACCGACTCGTCCTCATCGCAGGCTCTCTTTGATCCGCTCAAGGAACAAATCGGCTGGCATCCAGGTGTCCATCTCCCCACTCCGAACCGCACCGAAATCCTCGTCTATGGCAACCAATTTCACCTCACATAATCAACCTCTGATCCAATCAACATAAGTCGGTTTTCGGTATGAAGAGGCGCGACGCATCTCCGTTGAAAGGAAGTAGAATGGCCTTTTTTTCGGAACTTAATATTCCTTCCACCTTGTCTCGTCATAATCCTCCAGATACGGAATATGCATTTATGCATCTTTTTACGTATTCAAGTCTCTTCCTTTCCGCTAATAATTTTCACGTGCTCGCCCTTCAATTTATCACAAGACGTTCAACATTTTAAAATTACACTGTATAATCATCACATAATTTAATTTAGTTAATACATTCAAACATATTTCTATTATAAACAGAAAACCATAAGTTTTTTTTCACAAAGTTTATTTACATTATTTACATTTATATTCATGACTTCTTATACAATTCTTTTAAATCGAAACATTTAATGATGAAATCTGAAGTATTTATTTAATAAAATTCAGATTTTCATACTAATTTCTTTAATTTCTATAACATGTTATGTTATGTAATAAAAATAAAACGAAACTTATAATTTTTAACCCATAATTAACAAATTTGGTTTCATTTTCACTAAAAGATAGATTAATTCTTCAAAATTAGTAAAATTTATAAGAAAAGTTTTATCTAAAAAAATAGTATTTGCCTAAAGTTAGGAAATTATAATATCAATTTTGCCCTTACTTAAAATTTGTTTAGAAAATTTTATTTATATAGTTTACTAATAATATTTTATTCATTTACAAAACTTTATTTTAACCAAAAGACAATGATTTTATGTATCAAATTATTTTGTTTAATAATTTCTAAAATGCAAATAAAAGATTAAATTTTCTAACATTTTTTCAAATAAACTTCAATATTAGAACTATGATGAGAACTATGATACTTCTTATATTCTTACATATTACGTAGTATATTTATATAAGAAAACTTTAAAATAATTTTATGTAACATTAATATTATTTGCCATATGAATGTAAAAAATATTTGTATACTCATTATACATACAAAAATTAACATAATTTAAAAAAAATCGTGCGAATCACTGTTCAAAATCCTATACTTTCATCACGCACTTTGTTGTCATTAAATAAATATATATATGTTGTCTTTCACAAAAAATATCATAAATTTATAATAATGATAATTTCATAAAACTGTGACTATTTATCTTTCATGGATTCAGTACTTGATTTTCTGCAATTAGGAAGAATATTTATGTTGCTTAATGAATTTTGTTAAGGATCAGTACGTTTTAGGTAGTATATTACATAAGTTAGGTATATATACTAAATTGATGGCGATCACGCGGTATGTTGTTTTCACAGAATTCGCGGAAAATGTGTGTGTGTAGTAGCAGTAAATGAATTAATTGCAAGTTGAAGTGCGGTGTAATTAAAATATCTGCGGTATGCGCGCTGATTATTCCATAATTGCAGTACAATAATTCATGGGTGTAATTGCAGCGCATTTGAAGTGCACGGGCGTTTATTTAGCGGATGCAATAATATGCACAGGAGGCAAGAAAAGGGAATGGAAACAGACGTGTCGTTGAATACACATCATCATCGTCGTCGTACACAAAAACATACACGCAGAGAGAAAAAACCCTGACGAACAAAACGAGCCAAAAGATGAAACAAAGAAAGACGAATATGATAATGAACAGAATGAAAAGAGAGGAATGGACGAAGAGGATACAAAAAAAAACAACAAATCGGCGAGACTACCAACGACGTTTGGCCGTCGTCGTCGTCGTCTGTCCCATCGCCAAGTCAAGACACGGACCTTCAGAGTCTGTCACGTGTCTGTAGGCACATCCGTTCCGAACGACACACTAACTTACAATAACGGATGTCTTTATAGCACGAACCGACGGCTCTAACGCACCAAACATTACACCTTAGGCAACAATCTCTCTTTCTTTTTCTCTCTCTCTCCTCTGCCCCTTTTTCGTTTCAGTCTTTTCGTCCTCTTTATTATTTTATTCTTCTTCCAAATTTCGTCTTCAATTTTCTTTTTTTTTGTTCATCACTTCACGACTGCCTCATACTTTTGTTCTACTGTAAACAACCAACCACCTACATAATTATGAATTTTGGACACAGC